ATTTTCTGACTGCGCGAGTGGCGCCACCGCAGCCTTCGAGCGCAGGACAACACAGAGAGGCATCTTGCACTGACGATCGCGGCGTTGCCGATCCTGCCCCTGCAAGCAGGGCTGAGCCAGGGAGGGAGAGGAGGGAGGCGAAGCTATGGAACAGAAGCGGCCATGCGCGCTCTCGATCGCCAGACGATAAACGCGCAAGCGCAAACATCATCCTGCCCCTGTCTCTGCGGCCAGACGTCCACATTCACATTTTCTGACTGTGCGAGTGGCGCCACCGCAGCCTTCGAGCGCAGGGCAACACAGAGAGGCATCTTGCACTGACGATAGCGGCTTTGCCGATCCTGCCCCCAAACAACGATTCCAAAGAGTTCAACTGCCCCCTTTGGGCCGTCCGTCAATCAGAACGAGCGTTTAAGATCCCGTGGGCTAAAATTTGACAAACCTTAAAAGCGAGGGTCTGCCGGAGACATTTCACGATGGCCCTACATGGAGTCGTGGGTATGGTTCCGCTATCTTGGCCATAGCCTGCAGAAGCTCTTTTGGAGAAATCCTACACTTACCTGTTAAGTCTACATGCGGGCGATTCGAGCGCGTGCAAATCCCTTTGGACGACGAACGCAAACCTTTGAGCGAAGAGAGATCAGCCCACAAGGAGACCAGTCTGGTTCTTTTCCTCCAGGGGACCCCACAGAGGCAATAGTCAACAACAGTCTGATGAGCATCGGCATGATTCAGGAAACGTGCAGTGGGAGGCGCCGGCCACACACGTGACGAGTGCGGGTTCCCAAGCACCACGGGGATATGAAGGCGCATACAAAGCTGCAAAACACTGGCACAGAAATGCATGAATCGATTACCTATGCTGACCTTACGCGCACCGGCTGGCGTGAAATCTGGAAGACCCATGGTGAATTCCTTGCTGCGCAGAGCGGCTGGTCCCGTCGTGCCTCCTCGGCGCGCCATGGGCCAAGAGGAACGCAGCATGCCCATCCACGCGGCGCAGACATGGCCGCCACGCAGCCAGACTCTGATCAACTTCTAGCTGCGCGGGCGGGTCAAATGCGCTCTTCCCCGCGCACCAGATCCCACTCAAAAGCTGGGATGTCCTTCAGCCCCGCATCACGCCTCCAGGCCTGCGACCACCGCCCCGTCCCGCTGAAGAGCTCAAGGGCGACTTGCCCCCGTGGGGCACGGGCGGCAGCGGCAGGCAGGTCCTGCCGAGGAGCTGTCCAGCTCGGCAGCGGCAGGCCTTGGCGTGCTCGAGCCCCGCCTTAGAGAGTCGCCCCAGCACCTGGTTGAGCCTGCCGCCCTTCTCGTGCCGGCGCAGCGACTTCACGCTGGCCCAACGCCCGCGGCGAAGTACCCCCTGCAGGTCCCTCTGTCCGCTGGCGATCTCGTGCGAGGCCCCCCCGTGCCGGCGCTGGCACAAGTGGTTGATGCCGATCACCTCCAGGTTGAGCAGCTCCACCGCTGCGCTGAAGTGCTTCGCCAGCTCCGCGCACTCGAAGGGGAACAGGCGCGGCCCCGCGCCACGCCGCAGCAGCTGCAGCCCGGGCGCCAGGTCGCTGCACTCCGAGTTGTCCAGCACGAGCGCCTCGTCGCACAGCCCCGCCTTCGAAGGCTCCATCCCCTCCGCCGGGCGAAGCGCCGCGCTCCAGCGCGTGCGCCCCGCGCCCGCGCCCGTCAAGGGCGCCGCCAGGTCCTCCAGCCGCATCCCGATCACGTCCACGGGCCTCAGGTACAGCGCGTACATCAGGGCGATGCACATGCACATCTCCCACGGGCTTCCCAGGAACATCATGGCATTCAGGATCATGTGCATGATGACGAGCGGCATTGGCAGTCTCGCCATGGCGGGGGCGATCTTGTCGAAGACTGCCTGGGCCCGCGTGGCCCGCTTCAGATCCACGCCCGCTCGCCCTAGCTGGCAGTAGAACGCCGCGGCGGCCCTCAGCTTGCTGAAGTCCCCCGCCGTGGCCCCCTCGAAATGCATCGCGTCGCCCCGCATCACCACCGCCTCGTCCTTCTCGGCCAGCGTCTCGAGCGGCAGCCGGTGGGCCGCCGCCCACGCCCGGAACTCCGCCATCATCTTCTCGCACAGCTTCTCCTGCGTCACCGCCGCCGACCTCGACTCGAGGAAGGTCCGTCCGCGGCCCCAGCTCTCCGCGGCCTCCGACGGCCTCCCGCGCCTTGCCACAGCGCGGTCCCCGCGCCGCGACGCCTCCGCCTGCGGCGCCCGGGTCGGCGCGCGGGCGGCCCCCCCGCGCTGCGCAGCGGTCGCGCCCTCGGCCCCTGCGCGAGCCAGCATGCCCGCCCTCCCGCGCTTCAAGGAAATCGTGCCCCCGGTCTCGCCGCGGGACAGCTGGCCCGTCACAGCCGCCGCCAGGATCCCAGCGCCACGGCTCTGCATGCGGCTTCGCGACAGCATCGCCGCGGCTGGGGGCGACCGGGCGGGCCCCCGGGAAGGCCTGATGAAGTTCGGGCCCAGGAGGCTGAAAGATACGGGAAGGCGCCTCAGCAGGATTACCTTCGGACAACACCCAACGGACGGAAGCCGACGCGCCTGCCGCCAGGCAGTTAGCTCCCCACTGTCTGCACACGCGATTCACCCCCGCGACGGACGACCTCCCCTTGCTCATCATCAACGCCACCGACATCGCATCGACGATGAAGAAAACGATGACCATGATTGCGAAGCCGACGGAGCTGATGTTTCAGCGCCCACAGGACGCTACGTGCTTCAAGCATAGGCGTGGACTCGCGCTGCCGCCAGCGGGCAGCGCTGACCGTGCGCCAGGAGCCCGTCATCAACTCGGCAGGCACCTCGTCGAAGTCACTCTCCACCGAGGGCCCCCCAGGCTGCGACTCCTGGATCACATCCGTCAAGTGGTCTCCGTCGGGCCAATGCCGAGCGCGAAGCCGAGCCTGGGCGCTGAGCTCGCCGTGTCTGCCGAAGCGCCACCTCTCGTTCACGCGCCCGGCACGCCGAACCAACGCCTCGGACCTCTCGCCCTCGACCGCGCCACGGCCCCAAGGCGAGGCGTCCGACGCCATCGCGGTCGCGCCCCACTCAGCGGCCAAGTCGCGCCGCACGAGCGGCAGCAATCCCGCTGCCCACCACAGCTCGCGCCGCACTGCAGGCCAGAGTACAGCGCGTTCGTCGCGATGGGCATGAATGAACCCGTGCACGGCCCCGAAGCAGGACATCATCTCCCTCCGCATCAGAGCAGCGAAGGTGAAGTGCCCCACCACGACCTCGACCTGCCAGCCGAAGATGCGGGGCCGTCGAAGCAATTCTTGAACTCCAAGTCGTAGTCGCCATTCTCTAACAGGATTGAGAGCGACGGTCGCCTCCTCCTCGTCAAAATTCCAGCCCAACACACACGCCTCCCACACTGGCCCCCGCGCCATGCGTCGGGAGCCCCACCGCCTTCACGCCCGCGTCCACGGCGACTGCAGCTGCCTCCGCCCGCGCGAAGTCCTGCGAGAACGCAGCGAAGTTGCCCGCGCATTGCGTACGCGCCACCGGCGCGAGGGGCGGCGGCGGGCGGCCGTCGGCCATCCGCAGCGAGTCGGCCAGCCCCGGCACCTGCCGCACGATCTCCTCGTGCACGCTCTGGCAGACGCCCAGCGCCAGCGACCAGCCCATCGGCGCCGCCGCGAAGCACGGCGCCACGACATCGTTGACGCCGACAGGCTGCCCGCTGCAGTGCGAGACCCCCGCTTCCCCAGCCGCCAGCGACTTCAGGCCGAAGAAACGGATCAAATCAGGCGGCAGCGCCAGCGCATAGAAGGCGTCCGCGATGTCCCCCTGCCCAAGCGCCACGGGAGCAGCTGTGTCCACCTCGATGGCGCCCATGGTGGCCCCGGTGGCCAGGCTGACGTCGTCGGGCTCGTAGAAGTGCGCGTTGGACAGGCGGCAGTCTATGATGAGCCGAACCTTGCCACTCTTCTTCCATGCCGAGAAAGTGCCGACCTGCTCTGTACAGGTCCGTCTGAACTCTATGCGCCCCCTGCTGGCAAGGTGCCTCGCCGGGCGCGCGTAATGACGTCGGTCTCGCAGCAGGGGATCGCTGTTGCAGCGTTTCACTCCGCACTCCTCTCGTTTCCTCCCTGCCTCCTCCTTAGGCAGGATCTTGCTCTTCAGCCCCTCGGCGATTCGCGCGCCGGCATCTCCCGCAACCTCCTCAAGGCCGCGCGGCCTGTGGCCCTCTGGAGGCACGGGCATGAGGGCAAGCTCGAGGGCGCGCGAGGGTGGCTGGCTCGCCGCCGCACCCTCGTTCGGCGAGGAGCTCGCTCAGGGCCCCCTCGCCGCCCACGCCTTCCGGAGGGGGTCCCGCGGCTCGCGCGGCGGCCCGCGGGCGCTCGAGGCGCCGCGCCTGGCCCGCCGAGGGAACCCCTGGTCCAG